AACAAAATTGAGTCATTTGTAGAGACATGGACGGACCTAGAGACTGTCATACAGAGTGAAGTCAGAAAGAGAAAAACAAATATCATATATCAACACATATATGTGGAATCTGAAAAAATTGGTATAGAGGATCTTATTTACAAAGCAGAAATAGAGACACAGATGTATGTTTGGATACCAAGGGGGAAAGCGAGGCAGTGGGATGAATTGGTAGATTGGGATTGACATATATACACTACTGATACTATGTATAAAACAGATAACTAACGAGAACCTACTGTATTGCACAGGAAACTCTATTCAATGCTCTGTGGTGACCTAAATGAGAAGGAAATCCAAAAAAGAGGGGATATATGTATACATATAGCTGATTTACTTTGCTGTACAGTATAAACTAACATAATATTGTAAAGCAACTATACTCTAATAAAAATAAATAAATAAATAAATAATAGGCAAAAGATTACAGCAAACAGGAGGGTTGTGGAGAAAGGGAACTCTCCTACACTGTTGGTATAAGCTGTTGCAGCCACCATAGAGAACAGTATTCTAAAAATATCAATAGAACTACCATATGATCCAGCAATCCTACTCCTGGGCATGTATCTGTAGAAAACTCTAATTGGAAAATATACATGCACCCCAATGCTCACAGCAGCACTATTCACAATAGCCAAGACATGAAAGCAACCTAAATGTCCATCAACAGATGAATGGATAAAGATGATGTGGTACATACATACAATGGGATATTATTCAGCCATAAGAAAGAATGAAATAATGTCATTTGCAGTAACACGGATGGACCTAGAGACTGTCATACTAAGTGAATTAAGTCAGACAGAGAAAGACAAATGCCATATGATTTCACTTATAAGTGGAATCTAAAATATGATACAAATGAACTTATTTACAAAAAAGAAACAGACTCATAGACGTAGAAAACAAATTTATGGTTACCAAAGGGGAAAGGAGGTGAAGGAGGGATAAATTAGGAGATTGATATTAGCAGAGACAAACTACTATGTATATAAACAACAAGGTCCTACTGTATAGCACAAGGAATGATATTCAATATTCTGTGATAAACCATAATGGAAAAGAATATGAAAAAGAATATATATGTATAACTGAATCACTTTGCTGTACAGCAGAAATTAACATATTGTAAATCAAGTATACTTCAATAAAAAATAAGTAAACATAAAATTTTTCAAAATTCCTATATTGATAAATGAAGGAATACACTGTTTACAGTGTATAATGATGCCTTTAGCTAACTGAAATAATACCAACAGCTAAAATTTCTTGTAAGCTCACTATGCTCCAGGTACTCTAAACATATAGGTAGTTTCCCCAACCTACAGATAAGAGAACTGAGGTACAGGAAGGTTATGGGCCCAAGGTCAAGCATCTATTAAGGGACAGCCAAGATTCAAAGGCAGGTGTGGCCACAAACTCCTAACCCCACCTGCGCCTCACTGCCTTGACCCAGTGCCCGCGGGTGGGGAAGTGTGCGGACATGAGCGTGTGGCCACCAGCGTGTGGACAAGGTCTGGCCAGCCACCCCTCAGAGGGCCCCATAGTCCCAGGGATGTCCCAGATCCCAGAGTCATGGTGGGGCACTGGGCTTGCACACCCAGAAATTAAAAACAAAATAAGATTACAGCAAACAATTCACCAAAGAAGATATATATATGTATGCATACATATATATATATATATATATATATATATATATACAGTAAATGTATATAAATACAAGAAATACAAGAAAAGATTCCCAACATCACTAGTCATTATAGAAATACAAATAAAATCTACAATGAGCACCACTACACGGCCACTAGAATGGCTATAATTAAAAAAAGCAACCCCAACAAGTGCTGGTGAGGCCGTGGTGCAATTGGAACACTGACACGCTGCTTGTAAAAACATAAATGGTACGTCCGCTTTGGAAGCAATTTGGCAGTTTCTTAAATATTAAACTTACAGCTGCCACATGTTGCAGCCATTTCACCCCTAGTTGGAACTTTACCCCAGAGAAACAGCAGCATGTTTCCATACAAAGATGTGGACACTGACGTTCACAGCAGCTCTATTTGTAACAGCCCAAAACTACAATAACCCAGGAGTTCCTCAGCAGCCGACGGATGGATGGATTGTGGTATATCCATACAATGGAATATGCATGGACTATATTAAGACAGGCAACAACATGAATAAATCTCAAAATTTTATGTTTCATGAAAGAAGCCACACCCTCTCCCTCAAAAAATAAAACATACTGTAAGCCCATTTATGGGCTTAAATGAAGAGATCTGCCATTTCTCTCAGCATCCACACTCGACTGGCTTTCCCCGTGCCTCTCTGGTCCCTCTGCTGGTAGATGTTCTAACCAACAACTAAATGTCAGAGTTGTTCAAGGCTCAGGCTACACACTGTTTTCTTCTTACCCTATACTATTCCCTGAGGGATTTAATCCACACTCATGGAGGCTTCAATTAAGAAACACCCAAATTGATATCTCTGGTTTGGACTCTTCTGAATGCTAGCCCTGGGGAGACAACTGCTAACTTAGAAATTTTCACAATTTCTCTGTAGCGCTTGTTATACTAGCAGTTTTGTTTCCTTGGTCATTTAACATCTGTTTTTCCCCAGGTTATAAACTCTCTGAACACAACTACCCTGTGGACTGTGGCTCATCCTTGCATCACCAGTGCCGGATGCAGAGTAGCCGTTCAATAAACATCAAACTGACAAAGGAAGAAGCTTCTGTGAAGCTGTTATTATATAATTATTTAAATAGACAATATAAAACAACATGAATGAATCACACAGACATTATGTTGAGTGAAAGAAGTCAAACACAAAAGAGTATAAACTGTATGATTCCACTTATAAGAATGATGGTGTGCATCAGAACCATGGCTATCTTTGAGGCAAAGGGTATTGATTAGGGAGGGGCATGAGGGGGACCATTTGGGGGCTCAAAATGTTATATAGTTCAGTCTGGGTGGTGGTTACATGGATGTTTGTATACATGTGTGCATATACATACAATATATACATACTACACACACATTAATCACTTCTTTTAGTATGCTTTTCGGTCTACATTATACCACAACAAAAGGAAAAAAGGAATGCATTTTGGGAAGAAAATGTAAAACACTAAATATTGATGAGAAATATGCCCACAAGACTTTTGTAAATGAGAATAACCACTCTGCAGAACATAATGCATGTTATGATCCTGATTTGGTAAAATAATATATTCATACAGTCTTTCTTCTGGTTTCTACAACAGAAATCCTACCCAAACTAACAAGCAAAAAATTCATTTAATGACACATACCTGGAAAGCTCACGTAGCTAGGCCCACTTGCCCACAAATCATTTTTATTAAGAACTGCACTGAAACTCTCTAGACCAGGGGTCCCCACCCCCCAGGCCGTGGGCCGCTACCAGCAGGAGGTGAGTGGCAAGCAAGTGAGCGGCGAAGCTGCCTCTGCCGCTCCCCATCGCCCCGCATTACCGCCTGAACCAACCTCCCCATCACCCGCATTACCGGAACCAACCTCCCCATCGCTCACATTACCGCCGGAACCAACCTCCCCATCACCCCCGTTACGGCTGGAACCAACCTCCCCATCACTCGCATTACCGCCTGAACCATCCCCCACATCGCTCGCGTTACCACCTGAATCACCACTCCCCCACCATCCATGGTAAAATTGTCTTCCACGAAACTGGTCCCTGGTGCCAAAACGGCTGGGGACCGCTGCTCTAGACCATTCAAAAGCTAAACGTTATTAGGGCACCACTCAAAAGTGTCCACGAAAATCACAAGACCGC